TTATGTGTATGAGTATATTGCTTGCATGTATGTGAGTGCACCTGTATCGTGCAATGCTGAGGAGGTCAGAAGAGGGCTTTGGATTCCCCTGGAACTGGAGTTAAAGACAGTTCGTAGCCGCTATGTGGGTGCTGGGAATTGAACCCGGGTCCTCTGCAAGAGCACTCAGTGCTTTTAACCACTGAGCCATCTCTCCAGCCCCAGCACAATTTTAATATAAATGAAATACATGAACACACAGGGCTGGGGGGATGGCTCAGTTGTTAGGGCCTGAGTTCCAGCCCCAGCAGCATGAAGTAGTGCATGTCTTCCATCCCAGTGTGGAGGCAGGAGGCAGAGACGAGTCCCTGGCAACCCACAGGCCAGCTAGCCTGCTGTTTGAATGAGAAAGGACAAACAAGAGACCCTTTCTTAGAGAAGGTGGAAGGCAAGGACCGACACCTGAGGTTGTCTCCTGACCGCCATACATGGGTGTGTAAACATACACACACTGGAGCACACACACACAGAGATTTAAAAAATGAACATGCCTAGCAGGGCGTGGTAGCACACGCCTTTAATCCCAGCACTCGGGAGGCAGAGGCAGGCGGATCTCTGTGAATTCAAGGCCAGCCTGGTCTACATATAGTGAGTTCCAGAACAGCTGGGGCTACAGGGAGACCTTGTCTCAAAAAGACCAAAAAAAACCCAAACACCCCCCCCCAAAAAAAAATGAACATGCCTGATGTGGGGGCACACACCTTTAATCTCAGAACCCAGGACCAATCTCTGTGAATTCCAGGCCAACCAGGGCTACATAGTGAGACTCTGTCTCAAAAACAAACAAACAAACAAACATATATATGCAAGTGTGGCAAAATGTTACTCAAAGATAGGTGGGGAAAAGGTTTTTTCCTTTTTTAATTGAATATTTGTGAATTTTATACAACGTATTTCGATCACACTTAGATCCCCTCCTCTATATGTATTTCCTTACTACCCTCACCCAATTTACTGTTTTTTGGTTTGTTTTTTTTTTTGCATTTTTGAGACAGGGTCTTCCTGTAGCCCCAGCTGGCCTGGAACTCAACATGTAGACCAGACTAGCCTGGAACTCACAGAGATCTGCCTGCCTGAGTGCTGGGATTAGAGTGTACCACCAAACCTGGCACTACTGTTTTTTTTTTTTCAGTCTTTCAAACCTTTTTTCTTTTTACTGTGTGTGTGTGTGTGTGTGTGTGTGTGTGTGTGTGTGTGTATGGTGTACACATGGTGTCCGTGTGTGGATGCACATATGTGTGGGTGAATGTGCACATGAACATGTGGGTGAGTGTGCATGTGGAGGCCTGAGGTTAATGTTAGGAACCATCTCCATCACGCTTTCACCTTACTCATTGAGGCAGGGTCTCTCAATCAAGCCCAGAGCTCCCTGATATAGGTAGTCTTGCTAGACAGCAGGTTCTGGGGATCCATCCCATTCCCACTTCTGGGACTATAGGCGGGTCGCCATGCTCACTCAGTATCTTAATGACATCTGGACTCTGGTCCTCTTGCTTGTGTGCCAAGCATTTCCACCACTGAACTAGCTCCTCAGTCCCTTTTTTCAATATATTTGCATGTTGAAAATGTTCAAAATAAAATGCTGGGAAGTAGAGGTCGAGAAGTTGGTGTGGTGGTGGTGCATGCCTATAATCCTAGCACTCAGGAGACTGAGACTTTGAGGCCAAACTGGACCACATAGCAAAACTGTCTTTTTTTTTTTATTTTTATCTTTTTGAAGCAGGGTCTCCCTGTAGCCCCAGCCCCAGCTGTTCTGGAACTCATTATGTACACCAGGCTGGCCTTGAACTCACAGAGATCTGCCTGCCTCTGCCTCCCGAGTGTTGGGACTACAGGCATGCGCCACTGTGCCCAGCACAAGCCTGTCTTTAAAACAAAAAAGTCGACAGTGAGTTCCAGGCCAGCTGGGGTGACAGGGTCTCCCTGTCTCCAAAAACTAAAAATAAACAAATGGATCTAAGATACACACAAAACAAAAAAGTCAGCACATCACTGAAGAAGTTAGCACAGTGAGTGTTGAACATCCAGGGTTCAAACTGTGAGCTCACAGTGAACAGGTGGTGTGTCTCATTCAGCTTGGAGCTCATTAAATACTTGTAAAATGAGCAAGTGATTGAACTATTGAAGTTTCATTTTTATTCTGTGTGTATGTGTGTGCTACGAGGGATAGAGCCCAGGACCTTATGCTTTCTAGGCAAGTGCTCTCCCACTGAGCTACATCCCCAGCCATTTATTTATTTATTTACTTATCTATTTGAGACAGCTTCTGAAGTTGCTTAGCCTCACCTCAGACTTCCTACATAGTCCATGCAGGTCTTGAACTTGTAATCCTCCTACCTTAACTTCCCAAGTAGCTAGGTGTGGTTCAGCAAACTCTGTGGTTATTTTATTTTTATAAAATTAATGTGTAGGGCCAGCGAAATGGCTCAACAGGTAAAAGCACTTGCTGTGCAAGCCTAGTGACCTGGGGATGGAACCCAAGGTACAAGGAGAGAATTGATTCCACAAAGTTGTCCTCTGACCTCCATGTGCACTCACACTGTGACATGTGTGACCACACGCAAATGTACACACACACACCATACACACATGCTAAATAATTACAAAAAAACATGTAGGGGCAGATAAAAGCAGTAGCTGTGTAAGCCTGATGAACTGAGTTTGGTCCACAGAAACTACATAAAAAACCAGATGCAGTGGCCCACATATGTAATTCTAGCATCCCTATGGCAAGGTAGGAGGTGGAGACAGAATGGCCCTGAAGCTTGAGGACCAGCTAGCCTGCAGTATGTGGCACAACAGCAAGAGACCCTGCCTCAATGAGAGGCAAGAACCAACTCCTGAAAGATGTCCTCTGACACACACACACACACACACACGTCAAACTCCTATTTTCCAGGGTGGATTGAGTGCTTACTGGAGTGGTTCACTTCCACAGTGGAGTCCAACGCCCTCTTCTGACCTCAGAGTGCACTTACATACATGCAGGCAATACACTCATACACATAGAAAATAATAAAATATTAAATCAAGGCATACCTCTCTTGGGCCCCTCCCACTCTCAGTTCTTTTCTCTTTAGTAAATCTACCTTTTCTCTGCTTAAAAACAAACAAGGAACTAGTGGCCTCACAGAAATTTCGACCTTGCTGTGGGCGCCTGGAGATCATGTGACATGGCAGAGCTGTGGTGAAGCTGTGTGACTGGGGCTGACCAGAGCCTGGTGGGAGTGAGGAGACTGGTGGCGCCACCCCTGGGAGCATGTGGCAGGGTGAGGGACGAGGGCTTGAACCGAGGCAGTAATGGAGATGGAGGCTAGGTTTCTGAGGTGTGAAATGGAGGGAAGTGCAGGTTGCCAGCAGAGCTGTGGGGCTGAGGAACTGTGATGGCAGTGCTACCCAAGATTTGAGCCACAGGAAGGGGACAGAAGTTATGTGGGTGGGGTGGAGTGTGGACAGAGATGCTTGGACAGATTAAATTCACCTTTTGAGCAGACACCAGTCAGGAACAACTTTGGGCCCGAGTGCTCTAGACACCTAATCTCCACAGGAACCATCCCCAACAGGACTAAGGTTTGGCCGTTACCGTTTTACACCAAAGTATAACATTCCGAGGCCCTGGGCTGGGGGCTGGAGAGATGGCTTGGCGGTTAAGAGCACTGCCTGCTCTCGCAGAGGACCTGGGTTCGGTTTTCGGCAGCCACATGGCAGATAACGACTATCCAGTTCCAGGGGATCTGACACCCTCTTCTGACTTCCATGGGCATTGCACAACATGGGTGCACTTACATACATGCGGGCAATACACTCATACACACAGAATAAAAATAATAAAATATTTAAAACTCTGGTCCAAGCCGGGCGTGGTGGCGCACGCCTTTAATCCGAGCACTCAGGAAGCAGAGGCAGGTGGATCTCTGTGAGTTCAAGGCCAGCCTGGCCCGGGGGGGGTAAAAAAAAAAAAAAAAAAAAAAAAAAAAAAAAAAAAAAAAAAAAAAAAAAAGACCAAAACACAAACAAACAAACAAACAAAAACCCTGGTCCAACTCACAGGGCTGGGAATGTTAATTTCTGCTTGGGATTGTGTGGGCCCTAGCGTACACTGTGGCAGTCACAGCTTGAACTAGGTGGCACAATGGTGAGGGGGAGGTACCCACAAGACATCCAGGGTCTCATAGCCAAAGATCCATGCTGAGGGTTGGGGATATAGCTCACTTGGTAGTACAATTTGTCCAGCATGTATGAAGCTCTGGGTTCAAGTCCTAGCACCACATAAACAATGTGCTAGTGCACACCTGCGATCCCAGCACTTGGGAGGCAGAAGAGAACAGGAGCTTGAGGGTTGCCTTGATGAGATCCTGTCTTTTAAAAAAAAAAAAGATTCTTGATGGGGACGTGGTTAACACCCCAATCCTGCTGATCTCATTTCTAGTTTGTTTCTTTCCTCAGTTTAAAGCAGTTAACAGCTGCCACTAGTTGGGTATGGTGGCAAAGGCAGGTGGATCTCTGAGTTCGGGGCCAGCCTGGTCTACATAGTGAATTCCAGGTCAGCTAGGGTCACAAAGAGACCTTGCCTGTGCTGGATGGCTTTAGTTGTCAACCTGACACACCTGGGTAGAGGGAGCCTCAATTGGGGAATTGCCTCCATTGGGCTGGCCTTGACCATGTCTGTGGGGGATCTTCTTGAATTTTGAGTGATGTTGGAGGGCCCAGCCCACTGTGGGCAGTGCTACCCTGGGGCAGGTGGTCCTTTATTTTATAAGAAAGCAGGCTGAGCTTTCTTATAAAATATAGGTCAGGGGAGCAAGCCAGTAAGCAGCGATCCTCCATGGCCTGTGCTCCAGCTCCTGCCTCTGGGTAACTGACCCAGGAGATGTAAGCCAAAGTTGGTATTGGTCAGTGTTTTGTCATAGCAATGGAGAAACAAACTAGAACAGAAGTGTCTGAAAAAAGAAACATACAAATACAATTCATAAAGCTCTTGTATTACTGTCTCACTGATTCCACATGACCACCTTATGAAGCGTCACTGCTGCGGCTTGACTCAGACCACATGCTGGACTGTAGGCCCAAGAAGCCAGTGCCCTTTCACTGCATCTCCCTGGGTCACCTTCTACAGACCTTGTCCTCAGCTAATAAAGGCGCTGCCTGCTAGAGGCTGCAGGGTATGAGGTCTTTCTTCATCAAGGTTGCAGAGTCCTGTCAAGGAGAGGAAGGGTGAGTGTGACTCAGTTTTTATATTAGGGACCTAATGGGCAGAGTGTGTCAGTCCTCAGATCACACAGCAAATGCCAGCCAGTTTCAGAACCACCTTCCTGAGTCTCTGCTGATGCCATGTTAGCGGCAGGACTCTTCACAGCCTGGCTTCCTTCTCTGACACTCAGCTCCTCCGCTGCAGTGGGAGGAGCTGCCAAAGGGCATGAACGGCAAATTCTCCTTTCTAGAATCTTGGTTTGGTGAACCTGTTTTGGGGCCCCAAGAACAGCCGAGTAGCCACTGGTGTTACCCAGGGCTGCTGCTGGGCAGAGATAACAAGAGAGGAAGGGTGGGGAGACAGAAGCCCTCACAAGAGCAGGGCTCTCACAGAAACAATGAGTGGCGGTCTGGCCAGAGCAGGAGGTGATTCATCTCCCCCACTGTGTGGATCCTGCTGGCCACACTCACTGGGCAACAAGGGACTGGGGCAGACTTGGCCAGGTGCCCATGCCTTGCTCGGTCCCTGTGCAGGTTGGGAATCACATCCTAGCCCTCTGGTACCTGGCCTGAGTTCAAATGCCTGGGTATGTATCAGAAGCAGTGTGGGGAGTGTTTAACTGCACCCAAGAGAGCAGAGGCCTGGGCTCTTGCCTGAGAAGCTGCTGAGATCTAGTTTCGGGATCAGGGAAGCAGACTACAGGAAGGGGTGTGTGTCTAGCCCCCTCCTTAGGGTCCCACATGCCATGCCAAAAAGCATATGCTGGGAATGACCACGGTGGTTTCCTGGGCTGCTCCTCTGGGCTGTGCCAACAGCTTTTGTTCATCCTGAGGCAACAAGTCCTGACTGAGAAGATGGAGGGCACTTTGAGCTTCACATACGCTTGAAGACAGCACAGGAGAGACCAGTGCACCTGACGTGCCAGGATCGAAGAATGCAGTACTTTTAATTGGGTGAGATTCCAAGAGTGTGTGGACAGAACCTGTCCACTGCACCCCAATGTCTCTGCTGCACTGTTTTTCTGGTTGGAATGCCACAGGGGCTCCTCTCAGAAGGCATCTGTGGAGCAGAGCCCAGTCCTGAGATATACAAAGTTGCGCCTGCCAGAGGGCAAAACATCACCAGGCCACATAGTCCTGTCCAGTCCTGAGGTGTCCTCTGGTCACTGCTTGGCCTTCTTCACAATGGTGCCCACGGCAGAGATGACAGTGGTCTTAGAGCCACTGGCACTAGTGGTGACAGTGACAACCGCTGGCAGGGTGGCTGTGGTGGTAAGAATGGTGGGCTGTGCGATTGTGGTCACTGGGATGGCAGAGTCCCACTTACTCTTTCTCTTCTGGGCATCTGGAGATAATGCAAGAGAGAAGTCAAGATCAAAGCAGGACCCCACCCCCGACCCCTGATTCCCCCCGGAAGCCACCCGAGCCCTCTTTCCCAGTAGGCAGAGGTGGGCTTGGAAAAGAACTGGGAGGTTTCTGGTCCAGGAAGCCCTAGGGCAGCTAGTCAGCTGAGGCGTACCCTGGGATCTGAGGCTGACCTTGGGCAGAGACCTGCCTCAGACAAACCCAGGAACCCTCACTCTATCTGGTATGGCCCCAAAGTTCAACAGTATGGGAACTTGGACAAGCTGCCTGTACCTGCAACAGCTGTGCTGGCAGTAGTCGTGGTGGTGGCTGTGGCGTTGGTAGTAGTGCCTTTCTTCGTGCCCGTCACAAACTCAATCTGGATGGGAAGAGAGGACAATGAGATCAGTGCAGAGCTGTGTGTCCACTTCCTGTACTGTCTGCTCCAGGGGACAGCAGTTTGGCATTACACAAAGGAGGCACTGAAAACCACCTTGGCTGGGAGCATCCGGGGGAGGGAGAGGGGCCTGAGACTGCCTGAAGGGGCTTTTACCACTCTTCAGAGCTCTCCCAACAGACGTGGGATCCCTCCCAGCATCACAGGTTTTTGCACATGCCCGGCACCCCGCCTGTGCTGCCCCCCCTCACATGTTCAAAACCAGCTGGCCAGGCCCCTCCTCCTCACACCCAGGAGGAGATGGTGCCACCTGTACAGGGGAAGGACAGCCTGGTCCCCAGGCACTGCAGACATGTCCCTGTAATAAGCCTGGAGTTTGGAAGGAAGAAGGAAAGAGAAAGGGAGATTCAGTCATGGGTTAAGACTAGAAACCCAGCTGGGTGTGGTGGCACATGCCTTTAATCCCAGCACTGGAGAGGCAGAGGCAAGTGGCTGTGAGTTCAGGCCAGCTTGGTCTACATAGTGAGTTCTGGGCTGGATCCTCCCTCAAATCCCCTTGCACCAGCTCCCATACTCCTGGTCTGCCAAACATGGCCTTGGGGAGGGTCAACAGCACATCCAGGCCCTGCAGTACCTCTGCCTAGAAGTGAAGAGGAGTGTCTTGTGTCTCACAGTCACTATGAGGTATTCAGCCCTAACCAGAGGAACTGGTGTCCTGATGCCCAGCTATCTGTCTTTGGGACTCTGGTCATAAAGGCACAAGATCTAGAGGATGACATTTGAATCTTAAGATTCAACTGATCCTCTTGAAGGATCCAGATCACACTTCTAGGGAAGAAATGGTGTTTAGTGGTCTAAAATGAGGGATTATGTGGCTATCAGACATGAGACCCATAGGGAAACACATAGGAGGGCTGAGCACAGAGGCCATGGACAGGGCTGCTTGGAGTCTCACCAGGCAACAAAGAGCAGGGGTGTGGGGAGCCTAGGACTCTTGGACTCGGCCAACAGGACCTGTGCACTCCAAACCTGCCCTTTCCATCCTGGGAGTCTACTGTCACTTACCTTGGTTCGCTCTTTTTTGGCCTTTTCCAGTTTGTCCATCTCAATCTTCTGGGCCTTGGCTACGGAGACAAGACAGGCTGTCACAAGGGATTCTGAGTAGTTTTTGACTAGGAGCCTCACTGTCCTGACTCTGCATTCTTCACACTGGCTTAAAGGCCCTCATGGGTTTGTCATTCTTTTGTTCTAGGTAAAATCAAGTGCTGACCAACATGGGCCTTGACCCCAAGGATCTGGGGGCTGCACATCCTGTCAGAAAGGCTCAGGTAATCCTGTACTTCAGAGTGAGGACTATCTTCCTACTGACCAAGAAAGTTGGAATTATGGAATTTATCTGAGATAATGGTAACTCAAAATAAGACAAAACTTGTGAAGGTCAAAACATACACATAATTAGGCAGGATCTGGTCTATAAGTTTCTGCCGTGAGACTAGAGATCGAGATCTAAAGGCTTAGACTCTGAAATTATTTCCAGTTCTCCATGCTGTGCTCTCACTGGCCATAAAACACAAATCTCTTCTGTCTGGGAGCTTTCTGGCTCCTACACCTCTCCAAACCTTAGTTCCAATAGCTTCTTCAACAGGGCCTCCCCAGCCTTATGGTCAGGTCAGGTGACCCTGTTTGCAAAGGCTCTCCACTGTACCCACAATTCTTCACATTAATTTAATAGTGATCAGTGTTAGAATACTGATTCAACCACCTGTCGTCTTTGCTATGATGGTCTTGTCAGTCAGTGATAGAGTGTCTTATTCAAGGTCAAGTCACCAGTAATCCCTTAGACACAGACTGATATAGGATCACTTAAATCACTGGCTGACTGACTGGAGAGATAGATGGGTGTGTGGTGAGTAAATAGAAGGCATGCTACCTAATGCCTCATAGTAGGAGTCCTCAGACCAGCCATGGGGGTCGAACATATCCTGAAAAAGAAAAGGTTAATTAAGCAAGAATCAACAGAGACTATCACATAACAAATGGCTAACCATGGACCTTTCTAGCCTGGAGCCCCAGCCCTCTCGAAAGTATAGAGATTCGGTCATCATCCCCGATTTCCAGCCACAGGACAGGCAGGAAGCTCATAAGAACACAGGATAAATGACACACTCGCTTAGCAACACCACCAGCTAGCTGGCAGTGGACCCATGCCTGGGTTCTAACTGGGCTGGCACCTCAATTAGACTATTTTAGAACAGGGGCTCAAACAATAGATAGGGCCTGTGCTCCTTAACTAGCACTGTTGCTCCATGGAACTTTCTGTGGCTCTAAGTCATATCCAATACAGCAAGCTCCATCACCTTCCAGCCTGTGTGGGGGACGCACCTTTGGGTAGTTGGTGCCTAGCTCATCAATGGCGCAGAACTGGATCAGTTTCTCGTAGATGCTGAAAAGAGAAGAGCACAAGCAGTGAGCAGGCTCTGGACTGGTCCTGCATCCCTGCATGAAATCTCAACCACTCTCAGAGCTGTGACAAAGAAGCCTTTAAACTCAGCTCACTTCTTCCAATGAAGCTTCCTGCTGAGAAGTCCGACCTCATGACTTCCGGCTCCTTACCCTCAACAGGTGGACTGTGGCTGGAGCCAGGACGAGGGAGTCAAGACGACAACTGTATGCTGGGCCTAATGCAGCTGTTCTTGGCTTTCAGTCAGCATGGCTAACTCAGACCCACATGATGACCAGGGTAGGTCCCCACTGTCACACACTGTTCTTTCTTGGGTGCGTTACTAGCCTAAGCATTCAACAGAATAAGACCCCCAAATAGTTCTGTCCCTAAAACCTTTTACCAAGAGGCAAAAATCAAGTTTTAGAGTTGGAAGAAGAGCCACAACAAGTAATCGCCTTGTTGAACTTCCTCCTTTGAGACCAGGGTGCTGACCAGAAGCCAGGCCTCCCTGGCTCCAGCTCAGGCCTCTCAGCCACCACTCCAGAGTGGTTCATACACTGCACCTGAATCTCACTGGCAAACTTCTGGCCAGTTAATACCGTTTGCTGTGTCTAGCAGGTTCCTAGTATAAGCAAAAGTCTGGGTGATAATCCCTTTGGGCTCAGGTGGGATTAAAGCTGGCCTCTCCTTAACACCTTCTGAGGTGAGCTTCCTGGTCCCTATTCAACATTAGTGAGTTAACTTGTCTGCAGGCTCATGGGAAACTCACCTGGGGTTCCGAAACTCTTTCTTCCTTTGGATGATGTAGTTCATGTCCATTCCCTCCTTTATCTTTCGCTCATAAAGCTTCTGGATCTTATCCTATGACGGAGAACAGAAGGAGCACATGACAGAAGCCTACCCACCTCCAACTCAGTCTGTGGCATGAACACAAGACCCTCAGAGCCATGTGAAGCCTGACTGCATGCATACTCTCACCTTCCACCCAGTCTCTGACCAGAGTTCAACAGATAGGCCCAAAGTGGTCAGTTTTCATTTCTGATTTCTCCCAACCTCCTCTAGATTATCAGTAGAGTGAATAGCAGATACGCCAAGTCAGAAGTCATCAGAAGGCAAGAAACAAGTCTACAAGTGGTTATCAACTCCAACCACCTAAAGAAGAGCTTAGGGTCAGCTGATGTGTGAGGGTGAAAGCTGGGTTTAAACTTCAACACAAGCTTGTCTTTTCTTTATCAGACCTGAGTCATAGGAGACCTAGGAAAGCGTTGTGTCACCTCAGCTGAAGGCAGGACTTTTTTTTCTTTTTGAGACAGGGTCTCCCTGTAGCCCCAGCCGTCATGGATTCACTATGGAGACCTGGCTGGCCTGGAACTCACAGAGATCTGCCTGCCTCTGCCTCCTGGGATTAAAGGCGTGTGCCACCACGCCCAGCCAGGAGTAGACTTTTTTGGAGCTGGTCTCACAAACTTTCTGCATATCTTTTGGTGGTAGTGCCTCATGCAGGCTAGGCACAGGCTGTATCACTGAGCTGTACCTTAGAATAGCCTTAAAATGTGTTTTGTTAGGTGGCTAGGAGATTGGCTCATGCCAATTCACTGAGGGCCACCATCAAGAGTCAAGAGCTAATCTCTCATCAAAACTCCCTCACAGCTGGGCGTGGTGGTACACGCCCGTAGTCCCAGCACTTGGGAAGCAGAGGTAGGCAGATCTCTGTGAGTTCAAGGCCAGCCTGATCTACACAGTGAGTTCTAGGACAGCTGGAACTTACAGGGAGATCCTGTTTCAAAACAAAAAACAAAAAAAACAAAACCTCCCTCACAGATCCCTGGCCTAGGAAAACAGGAGAACCACTGTCATGATCCAAGCTTACTGACTGTAGCCAGAGATACAGGTTTCCTCAGGAAAGGGATCCTGCCAGGCCCAAAGACACAATGCCTGTGGCAGATGGCATCAGTGTTGCCCAGTGCCAGTGAAGAGGCTCAGGGCAGGTTCTTCTCTGAGAAGAGTGGTCTGGTGCAGTGGTCCAACTCAAGAGCTAACTGCAGCCTCCCTGCTAGTAGAGAAGGAAAAGATCTGGGCACACTTCACCTGTAGGAGAAGGCAGGAAAGGCTAGAGATCACCTTAGCGACATGTCAGATGGGGCCCATTCTCCTGGTAAGAAGGTCAAATCCTTCTGCTGAAAGGAGTAAGGAAGTGGGCTGGTAGAAACAATTACCAGGGAAGAGAGGCTGACAGGGACAAGCTGCTTTCCTAGGTGCTGCCTCCTCCAGGGTACTGGAGGGAGACCTTACCTAGGAGGCTCAGCAGCATGAGAACCCCTCTTATAGCTGACTTGGCTGGGGCTCCAGGGTCATCAGGAAGAATTTGCCATTTGTTTAAATGCCATGGTTTCTACCCCTAGGAGGATCGAAAAAGAAGATTCTGAACCTAAGGGCTGAGTGGCTGTTTGGTTTTGTCTAGCAGGCCTCTGGAGTTATCTAAACCTAAGGGCTGAGTGGCTGGTCGGGTCTGTCTAGCAGGCCTCCGGAGTTGTCCTCACAGGCTTGCACTTGTCTGGCATGGAGGGTGACGCCATCCTGAGGGGTGATGGGGAGGGAGGCAGACGACTCAGCAAAGGGAGGAGACTTCCGGAAAGGAAGAAAATCTGTGCTGTGCCCCTAGCCGACACTGGCCCTCCTGGCCGGCTGCATTCCTCAGCCATAGGCCTCATTAGTCACCCATCCGTTCGGGTGGTGCCCTGGGCTTGTTGTATAGCAGGAGCACCCAGAAGAAGCTGTGGGATCAAAGGCAGAGCAGGTGGATTGGGTCCATGACTATGTAGCCATGGCCAACCTGCCCTATTGTTAGTCCCACTCACAGGGAAACCTACAAAGGAACAAGGAGAAATAACCACATGGGCTAAAATCTCAGCCATATTGAGGTCCTCTTTCCCAGGGAGCAATTTCACATGTGAACAGTTCCAGTTCCTTGGGCTTTTAAAACCTCAGGTTGGATCTGAACGCAGGAAGCTACTGAATAAGAAGTACAAGGATAGGAGTTTTATGCATTTAAATGCTGTGTTTGCTCTTCTGTAACTGATTTTACGTTCTGATGAGTCCTCAGATATTTTTTTCTTTTTAGCAAAGTTCTCTCTGAGAAGCTCCTCTGGCTCAGCTAGGTTGTAGAGAAGAGGTATATTACTTTGTTACAACTTAGGACCTCACTGAGGGCCCAAGATGGACAGCACGTGGCAGGTGTGGCAGTGGGTGCCATTCCTGGGATCTGGTTAAGACGTGGGTTCCTGTCTACCTGGCAGCTTCACTGACTTGGTCCCTTTCCTTGCCATGGCCTCTGATGGTTATGACATAACCAGACTATGGAACCCAGACCATTTCATCCACATAGGCCTTAGCAGCCAGGCCTTGTACTTACTTGCAAGTGATTTGAACATCTGCCAGGGGGTTCCGGTGGGATCTTGATTTCATCAGGTGACATGTTACGGACCCTTTCAGAAAAAGAGGCTGTTGAAAAAACAGAGGGGAAATTTTATAGGTGAGGGTATAAAAGCAGGGGACATAAAACACAAGCACATAAAACATTTTCAGAGAGGGATACATGCTGTGAAAACAATGAAGCAGGGTGGTCAGGTATGGCCTCTTGGAGAATGTTACCTGAGTTGAGATCAAATGGTCAGGAAGAGCCCGCCATGTGCCAACCTGGGAGAAGGGGAAGTTCAGGTAGAGGGTACAGATGTAAATAACACATGCTACCAAGCTCCAGTGACTAACGACTAAGGAACAAGCATGTCTAGTGATCTGCTGGGAAGTATTTGACAATCAGTTGGCACCACAATGTAAAGCGTTTGTCATTTCTGCAGTATAAATTCTCCTGCCCTGTTAATCATAATCTCAAATTGCCAACACAGAATACTCTGAACCCAGGGCTGGAGGAGACATGTATCAGCTCACAGCGAAAGCCAAGTCCAGCCTCCCACAGGGTAGTCCCTAAAACATCTCTCCTAAGACTTGAAGTCAGAGCTACTTGGTGCCGTTCTTGTCTGGGGATGATCTGCCTAGGCTGTAGCCTAGGAGAGGTTCTGTTTAGGTTTCCCAATGTTTTGGATCCCAAACTGCTAGTTAGTGCCTAAAGAAACTTTAACAAAAGGCCTGATTCTGATGTGAAGAATCACAACTCCCAAGGATAGTTCCCTCAGAGATTAGCCACTGCCTACCCAAGCCTCGCCCCCTCTCTCCTCACTCCCTACTCTGTAGCCTCTGGTCACCCTGGGACTTCAGAGTCTTGCTCTGGACCACAAAGACAATGTACTGTTTGTTGTAAGACTGTGTTCTTTGAAACATTCTTTCATGAAAAGGACCATACAGTGAGCAAATAGTGGATAGAACAGGGTGGGGCAGGGGAAGGGAAAGAATGAACGAGCCACCATCAATAGCATCCAGCTAAGTACTCATTGGGGACCTACTGTGTACTAGGACCTGAGCTCAGCTATTTCTTAGAGAAGCTCTTTAGGGCTGATGGGTACCTACGTGGAGGGTGCTGCAGTGACACAGCTTTCCTGGTCGCCTGCCCCAAGGCTGGATTTTTTTTTTTGGTCTTTTTGAGACAGGTTCTTCCTGTAGCCCCAGCTGACCTGGAACTTGCTATGTAGACCAGGCTAGCCTTGAACTCACAAAGATCCTCCTGCCTCTGCCTCCCAAATGCTGAGGTTAAAGGTGTGTGCCACCACATCCAGCTTCAAGGCCGTTTTTTTTTTTTTTAATTTTTTTTTTTGTCTTTTTGAGACAGGGTCTCCCTGTAGCTCCAGCTGTCCTGGAACTCACTATGTAAACCAGGCTGGCCTTGAATTCAGAAAGATCCACTTGCCTCTGCTTCCCAAGTGCTGGGATTAAAGGCGTGCGCCACCACACCATGCCTTTATTATTTTTATTTTATGTGTATGTGTGTACTGCCTTCGTGTAGGTAACTTGCACCCATGTCATGCAATGCCCATGGAGGTCAGAAGAGGCCATCAGATCCCCTGGAACTGGAGTTACGGACAGTTGTTAGCTGCCATGCGGGTGCTGGGATTTGAACTCGGGTCTTCTGCAAGAACAACAAGTGTTCTTAACCGCTGAGCCATCTCTCCAGCCCCAAGGCTGGATTTTTGAAAAACAAGATTTATTTTATTTTAAAAAATTATGTGTATGTCTGTGTGTGGGTCTGTGCTTGTGTGAGTGCAGGTGCTCTCAGATTCCAGAAGGAGTTGGGAGTCCCCTGGAGCTGGAGTTACATTAAAGTTGTGAGCAGTCTGAAATAGGTGCTGGGAACTGAATTTATGTCCTCTTCAAGAGCAGCAAGCACTTTTAAGTGCTCAGTCATCTCTCTAGCCGCACCCCCCTTTAAATTTCAGATCTCAAGGGATTTGAAGGGGAGGGGGGAGAGAGAGAGAGAGAGAGAGAGAGAGAGAGAGAGAGAGAGAGAGAGAGAGAGAGAGAGAGAACACAAGACAGAGAGAGAGAGAGAGAGACCCTCATGTAGATCTCAAGCTTGGGCTTGAGTGACTCTCCTGCCTTGGCCTGATTAGCTAGGACTACAAATGTGTTCTGTTCCACTCAGCTTAGGTTAATATTTTCTTAGCAGATAAGGCTTTGATCTCTGTGTTTTAGTTTTACCATCACTGTGCTGAGCAAGGCTGGGTATAAGGTTCGCAAGACCCAAAGGCCTTAAAGACTCTGCCGGCTCTGCTGCTGTGGTCCCACATGGAGGCCAGGGCTCAAGCCCAAGGCTTAAAACACAAGTACGTGTGCTGGTTTTCAGTACCATCAGTAGTAGATTGTAACTGGACACACCCTAAGGACAGACTGGGCGACATAGATCAAAGGTCCTGCTGTGGGTCTGAGATGCAACTGCAGCCTACACCTCCTCTATGCCCAGCACCTTTCTGCTGTCTCCTGACCCTCAAAGTAAAGACACCACCAGTTCTGGCTGGAGTTCAAGCCACACCTTGACTTTTCTCCTCCTCTGAGCTCAAGGATAGGCAGAAGTTTCAGGCCAGAGCTTAAACAGGCTATAGGGGCTAGTTCAGAGTGGAAGCAACTGGAAAGAGCTGGTCCTGGCATTTTGTGATCATTAGTAACAAAAGCAAGAAAGCCTTGGCAGGTGCTGGGCACATAAAGAAGGAGGGTTAAGCTCTTCTCTGGGCTGGAGAGGGTATGTGTGCATGTGACAGGGAGACAAAGGGTGCCCTTTGGCATTTGCCAGGAAAGCTTTTTAAAAAAACAGGGTGTGATACTGTTGCCATAGCAATCCCCCACCCTCTGGAGCATAATTGGTAGACAGTATAACAGAAGGAGGGAACCCCTTTGGAACTGCAGGGGTATGTGTGTGTGGGTGGAGGGTAGTAATTGACAAGAAAGGGGACATTCTGGAAAACAGAAGTTTACTGCAGATTTCAGAAGTAATTTTTCAGTGATTCTCTTTCCTACATTCCAGAATAAAGCCAATGTAGAACGTTATCAGTCCCATGTATCTTTCTTGGAGCAGCCAGAGCCCCAAATCATTTTCCCAGGAAATCTGTCAAGCAGTGTATCCACAGACACTTGGGGGCAGTACCTATGTCTGTAGCTGCTGCTTGGGGGGGGCAGGGGCGGGGCCTACATTTAAGATTGGAGAAGCTTGTTGTCATACCCTATGCATGCCTCTATCTGAACACATCTTCAGTATCCATGGCTACCAGGTAGGAATCTGAGCAGAGTAGTCTCATGGACTTAGACTATGGCAGGGAAGAGAGCAGGAGAAGCAAGCCTAGGGGTTTATGGATGTCTGCAGGATACTTGAGGGGCAGTGGGCAGGAAGCAGAAGGTGTTTCCAGCTCCTGAGTGAACCAGAGAACCCACCTGGACTGGACTGCTCCAGGCACCTGTTGGGGAAGGGTGGGGTTAGGGGGTCTGGACAGCACAGCTCTGGAGACACTCTGAATTAGCCTCTTGGTTTTTGCTGGTTCTTTTAAAGGTGGGGTAGGTCTACACAAATGGTAATATTTCCCACACTAGGGGAGCAGCTTGCATCCTGACACCTGGAGTAGTTAACTAAAGGAGCTGAGTTTGGGCAGAGGGGCTAACAAAGATATCACCACTGGAAGCTACTCTGCACTAAAGTAATGACATCTTCAGAAGAGGACCTGACCTACCATCATCTACTCCTCAGTGAGAAAAGAGGATCAAACCTATGTGGCTGAAAGATGTACTTGTGTCCCTTATAAGGGAGCACATAAACAGACTGTGTGGCCTACAGTGAGACGCTCCTGAGACAAAGACAGAAACAAAAAGGAGAATGGAGATGTTCAATAACGTGGGTCTCTAAAGCATCAGGCCAAGAAAGGAAGCCAGATAGGAAAACTGATCTACACCTGGAGTTCTCAACTTGGGGTGATGCTGCTCCCTAAGTGGACACCCAGCAATGTCTGGAGAGATACTGTTATTTCACATGGAGGAAGGAAAAGAAAGTGCTTGTGGTATGCAGGTGGTAGCGAACAATTTTGGGGTTAAACATGCAGCAATGCCCAGGATGGCCCTCTCAACAGGGAGAGATCTAGCTCAAGAGTCAATGGACCCTAATTTCTATGAAACTGTAAAAACAGACAACGCTAATTCACCAAATGGCACACTTAAAACGGGCAATTCGTACTCTATGAATTATACCTCAATAAAGCCATTTTTAAAACATCGCACAGAGGTTGGGTGTGATAGCATCTACTTGTAATATCAGGTCTTCGGGACGCTAAGGAAGACCTGAGTTCAAAACCAACTTGGGCAACATACAGATATCTTGTCTGAAAAAAAAAAAGACCCAAACACGAAACAGAAAAAGTGCCAAGTCCACGTTGGCGATGGAAGAAGTCTGGGGCCGAGCTGACTGATTGGCTGGTACCCACACACATTCCACCATTCGCTTGACACTGCTGGAATGAGTGAAGGGGAGGGCATTGCTGTGCCTGTTCATGGACAGGCTGCTCTCTGACCTCCAGCCTCAAAGTTTCTCAGAAGTAAACAACAGAGTTTGAAGGGACCCGGAGGGAAGAGGCTGCAGCTCCCACCATACCTGGCCTTGTGGATCACCTGTTAGAGACAGGCCTACTTTCTATTAGACGTGGTTTCCTAGTAGATGTGGACCTTGCCTCCCCTGCCCTTGAAGCCAACTGTCAGATCCCAACATTGTTATTTTCTAAAGAACAAACTCTAAGGTTTAAGAAAACCCCGATCTTTACAGGATTTGAAAGACCTGATCTCCATCTACCAGGGAACCCAAGGATTAAGGCAGAGTCCTCATGGTCCTGTCTAACTGGTCTGCAGAAGATAAATACAACAATTCCTAGCACTTTAGAAAACCAGAATGAGCTCTTACCTGACCCCAACAAAAGAACAGGTGGGAGGGGCACTGGAGGAGCTCTTTTAGGCTAACTCTGAGCTCTGAACAACCCCCGCCCCCTCCTCTTCCTCCCCTGGTGGCTGGACAAATGAGCTCTGAGTAGGCGCTGCAGGTGTCTTTTGGAAGCAGAACCAAATAAAGTAGATTAGTAGAACATCCAGGGGGACCACGTAAGGGCTGTAATAGAGAAGATTTGACCTGTAAAGAGGTCAGGAACTTCCCTTGGCTGGGGCTTTTGGAGCTGTTACAAAGTCAATGGCCAAACTTAAGGAGCTGAGTGGCTTTATAAAGGGATTAAGAGGCTGGGGGTTGGCACAGGGCGTGGATGGTATGTAGTTTTCCAGAAGTGGCTCTGTTCCTCCAAAGTCACCAAGGGCACCAATATGCCAAGGCTGTGAGGCATGTTCCTGCCTGGGGACAAAGCAGAGTGCCAGCAGAGCTCCATGCCGACTCCCCGAACAACATGAATAAGCTAGTGGAGGGGGAGGAGGGGTACAAAGAGAGAAAGGTTGGGCGCAGGGCACAGTGGAAGAAGCAAAGACTAAGATGAGCTCCCAGCTGAGGGGGCCTTGGACGCCCTCTTAACAACACTGGCAACTAGCCAAAGCCCAGCAAATGCACAAAGAATGCAATTTTCAAAGAACTACTGCCTGGAGGACTCACCCAGTCACCCTAGGAAATGCCAAAGGCCCTGAGGAGGAGACTGCTCACTGCAGAGATGCCCAAAGGAACAGGGGCCTGGAAAGGGGTAGAGGCCAGCTTGCTCAGGCCAAGGCTCAGAATTATACCCTTGGGGCACTTACCAACTAATTCCTGGGGATCCCGCTTCTCTACTTCTGTATTATCCTGCAAGAGAGAAAGAAACACAAAGGTAAGTTTGGGCTCCTGAGCCAGAGATACTCTCTTCACTGAGACACCTTGGTTTTTAATGGAAGACGAAGAGGGGAGAGTATGGCCAGCACACTAACAGCAAGTAGCGCTTCAAGGGCTCCTGGGACCCCAGAGCCTTGGAATGCTTCTCCCTCATCACAGCAGCAGCCGGGAGCTCCGCAGCCCACACCAGTCTTTCTCCACAGCCTCCAAGAGAAAGCAACACTGATCCACACTGCCCCAGGATGACCTGTGCCCTGCTTTGGCTCTCCCTGGGGTGGGAAAGCTTATCTGAACAAACCACTAGGCACTGCTTCACAGGGAACCCCCTGTAACATCTAACTCCTGCTCTGGGGAGAATTTTCTTATTTTTATCTTATTGGTCTTTTTTTTTTTTTTTTTTTTTGAGACAGGGTCTCCCTGTAGCCCCAGCTGTCCTGGAACTCACTATGTAGACCAGGCTGGCCTTGAACTCAGAGATCCGCCTGCCTCTGCCACCACACCTGGCTTATTTTTATTTTAAACAAACAAACATACAAACAAACAGGGCAGACTTTACCATGAGGATTAAGGAGCGGTTCACAGAAGCCTTTGTGAGTGACTAAATGAAGCCTCGGAAAAGCTAAGCTCGTGGTGGCCTCTCTGGCTCTCATTGGCCCTTGCCCTCTTGATGTTGGCTCTGTATTTTCTCCAAAGAAAAGCTTTTCCCAAAACTTAATATACAGTTACTTCAACTGCTTTGCAGAAACCCAGGTGCAAAGGCTTCTTGTCAAAGTCTTATTTCACTGCTTCCTCTTCAAACCAAGGCAGGGAAAGTGACAGGTTAAGCCCTAGGTTACAAGCTTCTGGCACCACAGGGAGAAAGGCCTTCCCTGGCCTCTGTGGACACAGATGTAAAAAGACAAGAACACACTGGCTTTCCTGGAACTCAGTAAGATCAGAGATCTTAAGTACCAAATTAGGACGAATGATCAAAATGGCAAGAACTGAGTTCACAGAAGGGCGTCAGATCTCATTTCCTTTCCCTCTTCTCAGTGAAGATTAGACAGTAGCAACTGCCACAAGATCTTCTTGTGAAAACAGCTGCCAAGCTAGACTTCCCTGTACCAAGTCATGCTCCAAGTCAGCCTCGGGAGGGAAGGTATATGGAGGGTTTCAAAATTCCCTCCCAAGCTATGTATGGCTCTGTGCCAGAACCAGACACCCTTCCCCAAAAAAAAGTCCTTCCTGATTCTCAGACAGGCCCAAACTCCCCTTTTCTGAACACTGCAGCTATTCATTCAAACTGCAAGGGTACAATGTTGAAGCCAGGCTGCTTAGCAACATGTCCCTTCCAGGCACTCACCCTTGCCAATCAGGTAGGCAAAGAAGAGGCTCAGACTGGTCTGGAGTAGAGAACGGGAGGCGGGCCTGGAGGACTGCCACATCAAGTTCTGGTTGAAGTCATAAATCAACTGCTCTACAGACAGTGCCAGTCTCTCAGGGGACAATTCCTTTCTCCTCTGGAGAAATCAATGTTAAGGAGCATTCCTGTAACTAGTGTGGGACTGTAGAACTTTCTTATAGTTTTCCTACTGGAGACAGGTTTCTGGATGCTAATTGTGGGAAAACGTCAGCTGGGTACATCCTACCTCCCCCCAGCCACTTGGCTGGTCATATAAGGGACTGGTCTGTGAACTCTAAGGGACCCAAACTCTCTCTTTCTCAAGCCCAGTTCCTATTAACCCTCTTTTATGGGTAGAAATAGAGAACTGTGAGGGTAGGCCTGATAGTCACTGAATTCTACTCTGGGGTCTACCTCAGATGACAGAAAGTTGGTCACCAGACATGTCACATCCCTTTAAAGGGAAAAAAATATTTGTCCTTTTAGGGGCTCCCCAGGTAGAGTAAGGTCAGGAGCTTCCCCGAGCCTTTTAATAGCTTTTATGACCCTGTTGATGCAGGGCTCAGGGTGTATTTGGTAGAGTGTGTATTTTGGGGCTGGCTGGCCTAGCTGAGGTTATTCAGTCCTGTCTCTGTAAGAACATGATATGGTGAGCCAGGTGTGGTGGTGCACCGCCTTTAATCCCAGCACTTGGGAGGCAGAGGCCAGCCTGGTCTACACAGCAAGTTCCAGGCCTGTTGGGGCTACATGGAGACCCTGCCTCAAAAAGACCAAAAATAAATAAATAAATAAATAAAATCACAGGCAGGAAGCATACTTCTGCTTTTCTTTTATTTAAGCATTTACTATTTTTATTTTACGTGTATGCATGTATTGCCTACATGTAGGTAAGTGCACCTGTGTCATGCAATGCCCTCGGAGGACAGAAGAGGCTGTCAGATCCCCTGGAACTGGAGCTGGAGTTACATACAATTGTTAGCTGCCATGTGGGTGCTGGGATTCAAACCTGGGTCTTCTCCAAGAACCACCAGTATTCTTAACTGCTGGGCCATCTCTCCAGCCCCTCCCCCCACTTTTCTTTTAATCTCTACTCAGTTTAAAAAAAAATGAAAAGGATAAACTGCAGCTGATTTCAATTTGTCAACCATTTTGGCCTTTGCTTCTCTACCCTGTTAATAGAGAAAAGGGTGGGAATGCTCCCAGAGTATCCTGAGCTAAGGTACGGGACCCTTCCTCAATTCAAACTCCTCCATATCAAAATCTCAGGCCCATTCAACTTACCACAGTGGAACTTAGCTCTACAGGCCTGTCAACTTTTGATGCCTCTGAGTTAAGTGCTGATCAGCAGACCATGGACTCAACTTCAAACGACAGAATAGTCTCCTGTCCTAAAAGGATCCCATAAGCCAAATGTATAAATAAGCCTGCACAGCCCCGAAGCCATACAGAGCAGTGTTCTTTAGGAAGGGGCCAAGATTGTGTACTAGTCCCTTAGGAAGATGAGAAAAATCCAACAGTCAGAATCATGATTTGGAAGGTAGTTCTGCTGAGACCAATAAGCGGAGTGTGAGCCTGGTAAACCCCAGGGGTCTGTGCCACTACACTGAGCTGCCCCAAAGACACCTCAAGTTCTTTTGGTTCCTAAGGTACACACTCTGGCAAAGCAGCCTCATTTGGAAACTTCCCTGGAGTGTGCAAGTGCAGAGTGCAGAGCTACAGCTTTACTTGTTCTTCCATGGAGACAGATCCAGACTTCAGGAGCACAGGGAAGCTCAGGGGGGAGGGAGGACACTGAAGATGGGTTTAAACACCCCAAAGAATCTTTTCAGGGACGTACAGTTCCATGGTACGGCACTTGCCTAGTATGCACAAGATCCTGAGTTTGAGCTACAGCACTGCAAACGAATAAACATATGCCCCTCCCCCAATGGCTCCAAAGTCAGAGATGCTTTTCAGAACCATTTATAGTCAATTATGCACCGATGTTAAGTTTAATGTAATGAAAGTGGCAACTCTTTTGGCATAGAATAATGACCTTAGGAGCCTTGACCACCAGTGACAGGGTGGGCAGAACTAGGAGAGGCTGTGTATCACACAAAAAACAAAAATCAAGGGGCTGGAGAGATGGTTCAGTGGTTAAGAGCACTGGCTGCCCTTACAGAGGACCCGAGTTCGTTTCTAGCACCTACATGGTAGCTTACAACTAGCTATAACTCCAGCTTTAGGAGATCCAACACCCTGTTTTGGCCTCTCTGGGCATTGCATGCATGTAGTGCGTATACATTTATGTAAGTAAAACACTTATACACATAAAATTAAGAAGAAAAAAAAAACTTAAAAAAAAGATGGGAAGAGGAAAAAATAAAACCCACACAAAGGTCCAGAGAGACAGCCTCCTACCTATCTTGCCAGATACTAGGAATTCTGTATGGACTGAACCCAACATCCATGAGAGAGAGCTAAGCTGAAGCTAGCAATAGCATCAGAAAACACGTGTAGTGAAATACTGTTAATAACAGTTATGGAAATGTAAGACAGGTTCACATCATAAAACTAATAGGCTAAGAAGTGGGTGCCTCCAAACCTGCTCTAGGAAGGAGACTGATGATCTCTTAGAGAGACCAGAAGGGGCACCATGAGGAAACAAAGAACAAGAAGAAACCATGGTTCCGCTTTCCTTTCCCTAAAGCAAGGTTTCCAAATGCCCAAGGGACACCTGTCTGGACTTGTACAGATCCTTCCCTCTGACTTCCAGTTAGTCAAAGTAATTAACTTAAACTGCAGACGCTTGTTTGCAGCAGCCAGTAGGCCTGGAACCCACAGCCTAGACAAGCCAGCCCTGAGACTGAGGGCCTCACCTCTAGGAGGGAAATGAAAATAGCATCACTTGAGGAAAGGAGAGGAGCTCTGAGGTCAATCTCTTCAGTCCCCTTGTTCAAATCCAATTAAGACACAAGGAAAACAGCAGGTAAAATCTAAACCCATAGCTTCCCAATGGAAGCCAAGCAGAAGGTAAGGAGGGATGGAAGAATGACTAGGGCTCACATGCTGAACTTGTCAACAAAATCAAACTTTAATCAGGCATGAGGGCACAGGCTTGTAGTCTCAGCACACAAGAGGCTGAAGTAGATCTCGCAGGTGGATCTCAAATTCTAGGTTAGCCCAGGCTATGTATCAACACCCTGGCACAGGCTTACAATCCCAGCACACAGGAGGCTGAGGCAGGTGGATCTCAAATTCTAGGTTAGCCCAGGTTATGTATCAACACCCTCAGAAAACAAAACAGAGCCAGGTGGAGTTTGAGGACAGGTAGGCAGGGTTACATAGTGAAACCCAATCTGAGAGAGAGGGAGAGAGGGAGAGGGAGAGAGGGACAGAGAGAGAGGGAGAGAGGGAGTGACTGAGGCAAGGACTCATCTCCTGTTTACACTCTGTCTTTCTCCCTAGCCTTTGCCTGAGACTAAACAGCTACAACAGGAAGTGCCGAGTAGCCTGAGGACAGTGCTGTGAACCTGCCAATTTGTTTTTTTCAGCAATTATGAGAGACGTAAGAAATGCACCAGCTACACTGTAGGTCAGTGGCAGGAGACTT